ACCCCTCTGAAAAAATATGAGTGAGTAACAGTTGGGATGATGACATTCCCAAGATATGGAAAGTCATAAAATTCATGTTCCAAACCACCAACCAGTATATGTACATTATACAGTAGCAAAGCCAAAACAGCTTTCGTCATCCAGGGGTTGCTATCCGGGCGCCCAGACTGTGCCATGTGGTTCGCAAATGGAAGATTGGCCCTCGGATCCGGCGTTGGCAGATGTCAAGTTGAAAGTGGGCATTTCGTATGGATATAAGTATATATATATATAATTATGATATTTGCATATAGATTATAGATTGTATAGATCGTATATATATATACATATGTAATGTATATATATATAGATATGTAAAGTATATATATATATGTAATGTATATATATATATATACATGTAATGTATATATATATATATAAATCTATACATATATATATATACCCATATATGAATGGTCATAAATCATATAACAAAGAGAATATATGTCTTTCTGCACAGGTTCCAATAGGCTACTAAAAATCTACAAAGGGTGGTGAATCTCAACATGACTTCATACTTTTCACCGCATCTTCTCGGCGCGGAAGTACACATAACCTCAGCACGTTGTTACGGATGGGTCCCAATCTATAAAATTACAGGGAAATTACCATCTGGTTGGTGGTATACCTACCCCTCTGAAAAATATGAGTTCGTCAGTTGGGAAGGATGACGTCCCAATATATGATGGAAAATAAAACATGTTTGAAACCACCAACCAGCCATATGTCTAGGGATGTCTGGGGGAATAAACATCATCAAACATCCATATCTGAATCTATACGTAGTATCTATTTTGGATCCCCAGGGCACTGGGGTGGTGCCAAACCCATCGCATTTTTTCGTCACCGTGGCGGAGCAAGCAGCTCCGCAGCTCCAAAGGGCGAGTCAAGCCGGTAGGCCAGTCTGACATCAAACGAATTGCGAGTACTTCGAACATTGCGCCAATTTGCGCCAATTCAACTTCAACAGATTCATACAAGGTGGTGCCCCATAGTTAGCTAAGTTGGTTTATAACTCCCGATGGTTTGTGGCAGATATAACGAACTAGTATTCATGGGGTTTATAAACCAACAAACATCACTGGGGGGCACCATCCTGTAAACCCTGGTTGCTTAGATAATTGGGGTGAGCCTCAGAAAAGTGTTCTGAATGGATATGTTTTGTTGATCATCCCATGGAACTGGCCGCGATATTTGGGATATAAGCCCTACTTGTAGGCCCTGGTCACGTTTGCGCCACTTAGTGGGCTGCACCCCCCAAATAGATAGTATAACCACTGCAGTAACTGTAGTAATCTGAAAGTTATGGCCACTGAGCATCTAAGATGAGAAATCAATGCGTCCACACCGGTCCTGACTTCATTTCACCTGGCTGTGGGACTTTGTCCACCGCACATAGACAACATACGGCTGGCCACGATGATCAAATGCAAAGCTACATCCATAGGCTATGGATAGCTATCTAGTTGGTGGTATACCTACCCCCCTGAAAAATATAAGTTCGTCAGATTGGATCATCATCCCAACTATTGAATATTATAAAATTCCATGGTTCCAGTCACCACCAACCAGCTATAAATATGTCATTTGAGGATGGATCATCCTAGAAGGAGCTGTGTTTTCCATCCATCCTTTCTACCACTTGCTGGGTTGATTCCCTAGGAAAAAACACGAACTTAGGGATTACCCTCTGGTAATTTAACATAGCTATTGAAAATGGCCATAGAAATAGTGGATTTACCCATTAAAAATGGTGATGTTCCATAGCTATGTTAGTTTACCAGAGGGTAGATGACTAAATGCTGTGTTTTTTCCTAGGGAATCAACCACTAACTTAGATTTCTTGCTGGGATTAGATGACTAAATGCTGTGCTGAGACATCTGCACAGACATTTTTTCAATCTACGTACGTGTACACAACGTGTACGGCTACAATACATCCAGTCAATGCCAACAGTTTACACATCATTATGAGGTACCATCTATGAATTATCACTATAGTGATAGGGGGTTGTCTTCGATTGTCCCTATCAAAGTGACCCGATCCGTGAGGACATTTGCAAAACATTGCAAAATGCTACCGGCAGCATCACCGCGTCATTTTCGCCCACGATGAAGAGCAAGCAGATATTGCCAAGACCTTGCCAGTCCAAGGTTTGAAGTGACGCGACGTCTTTGGTCAAATTGAAATATATATATATATATATATTGATACATATTGAAAACAGTTTATGTTGATTACTAGTAAACTAATATGAACATAACACATATGATTATCAGTTGCAAACTGTTGATGTTTGAAACTAGATATTGATCAATTTGGAACACCAACAAGGATGTGCCAGGGGTCTGTGTGCCAATATTCACTTGAGCCACTGGTAGTGACCTCTAGAGCCACCCTCCAAGTCGATGACCTGCCATGGGGAGGTTCAACTTATACATTTTGCCATGTTGCATAGCATACACTCTGGTAAACTAACAGTTTGCTATTTTTCAAATGGCCAGTTATAGTGGATTTACCCATTAAACATGGTGATTTTCCATATTTTTCCATAAACAAACTGCTGGTTTCAACTCAAACATGGCGTTTCAAACCGCCATTTCTTCACAACGCCGAACCGATCTGCCAATAGCCGAGTCGCTTCACCAAGGTCTTGCCAACGAGTTGTCAACTATAACCATTAACAATCACCATTAACCATTAACATCCATTAACATCCATTAACCATAATCTATTGATGGTTTTAGTACCAAAAAAAAATACATGGTTTCTTTATGTTGAAAAACCCATTTACGAAAAGCAGGGGGGAATGCCGAAAAATCAATGTGTAAAATCATATTGCCCTCCAGTCAACCTGCTGTTCACAATCACCTGTTTGGGTCGATGATTATCCCATATCTTTTTTGAGGAAAGAATCTGATTGTCCATTGCCATGTTCAATTCCAAATTCGGCGGGTAATTCACCATTCATAGAACATCATGAATCAAATCCATTTGGGTCTGTCTGAGATTAGGCAAGCCTATAAAAACCCAGTGGCTTCACATCATTCTCCAGACTTTCCATATGAAAATGCAAAATTCTTGGGTCTAATACCCCATTTTTAGACACATCAATCTAAATCCCATGTTATTGGGGGTCTGTCAAAACTTATTTTTTCCATATCTCCATTCACCAGCACTTTGTCTCCATATGTTGCATGCAAAAGTCTCCATATCTTCCCCCAAGGTTTCACAACTTGGAGCGCGGCTTACTCGAGGTTCCATGCAGTCGCAGAGGAACCTGGATGCAAAGATCAGAGCTTGTTGGGGGTTGCAAAACAAAAGTCTTTCATGATGTATGTATATGTGTACGTATAGATAGATTCTTGATGGTATGTAAATATAGAATGTATATATATATATATATTTTGTGTATATATATATTATATAGGAACTATATTATGTTTATATATATATATATTATGTATATATTTATATATATTATGTATAATATATAAATATTTTGTGTATATATAAAACTATATTATATATGTGTATATATATATATTAAGTATATATATATATATTATGTTTATGTATATATATATATATAGGTTTCCTAAAATGGGGGTACCCCGAAATCATCCAAAATTGGTCATTATATGTCATTATCAGTGAAAAAAAACAATAGGTTGGGGTACCCATATTTAAGGAACCCACCATATGATTAGATATATCAATGATTAATTATAATAATTCTGCACAAAAACAACAGAAACTTGCGGCATAAATGGTAAACGCATCGAACTCCCCAAAGTCTAAACGTTGCAGTGTTGATGCTAGCTTTCCAAAAAGGGGGGGGCCTACGGGCTACCATCTAGCACTTAAATACTTGTTTCACTCAAGAAACTCCATCAAAATAATATGAACCCCCTTGGAAACCTAGGAATTCTATGGAATTCTGGGCTAAACATCACTTTTTTTGCCCACCATTCACCTAGCCTATAGCCTATCCCGAAACAACAACCGCGGCAACAAAAAATTGGCGCCTCGGGGGATGCCTGCCTGGCCCGGTGAACACCAAAACGTGCATCGTCTTCGAGAAACACCAAAAAAAACGGGTCAAGTCATTGGCTACCCATAGAATTGAGATGGTTAATACATGTTAATACATCTTATTACATGTTAATATATTATCTCAATACATGTTAATACATCTTTACTACATGTTAATACTATATATATATATACACTCAAATCTGTGGTCCCATAGGTCAGACAAAGTCTTAGTTCCTTAGCTCAAAGATGTTCTAAGTTGGTGCTGAGAGGAGGGGGGTTGCCTCCGGCGTCATCCAGCCTCGGCAATGGAAAATGGGAAATCCTCCAATCCAGAGATCTTACCAATTGAACCCGGTCCTTTCCATTCTGGAATCGTGAAAAAGTGCGTGTAGAGAAGGCTTTGCATATTGTGATATATTGTGATACGGCCAAATCAGAAATAAGATGAAATAAGACAGGTTATTGTGAGGCCTCACTAACAGTTGCGGCAAATCAAAACAACAAGAACCATGAAAAATTCCCCTATATATAACGAATTATAATTATGTACCAATTAGGTAGTATAACTATAATCCCATCCCCTGTTCATACCAAACACCACATCCCATGGTACCAAAGGTGTGTAACCCCCCTTATTGCGCCCGGGATGTTTTTGGTGTTTAATATCATATGAATGCCCAACAAGGATAAGTCAAATCAAATCGAAATAATGAGACATGTCACTTTTCTACCAGTTTGGGTTTTACAATTTGGTTATTTAACGTAGCTAAGTAACTATGGAAAATCCCCATTCTTAAACCGAACATAATCATTTCTATCATTTTTTAATGGATGATTTTCCATATATGGTACAAAACAACCAGACGGTACAAAACAAATGGTATCATAGTTTATCACTATGTTCAATTATCAGATGATATGTTCAATCACTATGGGATAGTTGTTTTTTTCCATCAACGATGGTATCTTCAGCGGCCTCTGGTGGAAGCATCTGCATTAACTCCTGCAAATCCCGTCGTAGCAGGGCTTGACGGGCCTGCCAGGTGAGGGTTATCACTGAAAACGGATGGGGATTTCACAAGAATGGTGAGATATCATGGGATTGTGAATAAAATTTAGCAGGTTTTACTATTTTTTAAATATTTAATGAGGTTTAATGTGATTTGTATGGAATTCACTGGGGTTTGATGTTGTTTTCGAACGGGATTCAGTGGGATAACAATGGTCTGGACTATTTTTATTATTTCACCATCGCAAATTTATCAACAGCAATCGGAACTTAATAGGATCAAACCAATTGTATCCAGTTGTGATTGTCATTCAATCACAATTGTGATTCAACTAGCAATCATGCATCTAGGTTGAACCAAAAACCATGATGCCAAACTTTAACCAACGACCCCTGGTCCGCCTCGATGGCTACATCCTACCATGATCTCCCCACAATATCCCTATAATCCCTTCCCCCTATTACTAACCCCCCAAATAATAAAAACTACCTGAAGTGTTTATTATTTGGGGGGGTCTAGTATCAGGGGAAACGGATTATTCAAAGAAATTGAAGCCAGCAGCCAAACAACACTAGCTGTAACATATGGTGTTGTGTTTGAACTAGTGTTTCCCTAGTTGACAAGTGTTCTCCATTCTATACTAAGTGCCAAATCATCTGAAAGTCAAACGAATTAACATGTATCAAAAGAACGCCATATACTATACCCTCTGGTAAACTAACATAGCTATGGAAAATCACTGGTTTTAATCGGAAAATCCACTATAAATGGCCATTTTCAATAGCTACGTTAAATTACCAGAGGGTATGACGTTTTTGTTTCTGTCATCTTTTCTGACACAGATTCTGACATACTATCTGACATCTTCCCTGACAATCTGTCTGCCATTTCACCTGGCATTCTATCTGACATACATTCTCGCATCCTATCTGACATTCTATTTGACACTTTAGCTGACGTTTATTCTGACATTCTATCAGACACTATTTCTGACTCTGTATCTGCCATCCTGTTTGTATTCAAATTCAATCACGTATCCAATTGTATCCCTTGCAAATCACCATCATCATGATGATGATGATGATCAACATCATCATCATCATCATCATCACCATCAACATCATCATCACCACCACCATCATCATCGTCATCATCAGCAGCAGCAGCAGTACCCAGATATACGGAGGTTTCTTAAAAAGGTGGATCCGCAAAGCCATGGGTGTCAATACTCTAAATGGTCTAATGACTTGGATGATCTAGGGGTACCCCCATGGATTGGAAACCTTCAATTTACCCTCCAGTAAATTAACATAGACCCTGCCATGAGTCGCGGGTTGGAAGATTATTTTCCAGTAAAACTTGACTATTTTCTGGGTCGAACTGTTATCCACTTGAGTATACTTTTCAGAACCAGTATAAATTATAAGATTGCTACCCCATTTTCCATGGTTTTCAGTGGTTTTCCCATTGATCATAACCAAGTTGGGATTTTCCCATTGACAATAACTATCCATTGATTAACCATTGGGTTTCCCTTTGACAATAACCATTGGTTAACCAGTTTTGGTATTCCCATTGGTTTTTCCGTTGAAAGTTGGAGGAAATCAATTGAATGATAGTTTCCCATTTCCCATGTTGTCCCATTGGGTTTTCTATTGAATCATCAAAATTTCCTATTGGAAATCAATCATAACTTATTATAACCATTGGTGAACCATAATTTTGCTATTCCCATTAGTTTCTCCATTGACAAAAACCAATTTTACTAATGGTTTTTCCTTTGAAACTTGGAGGACATCTATAGGTTTTCCCACCTCGATCACCTCGTGGTGCTCCAGGACCTTCCGCAGCTGCCGCTGCAGCGACGGGGCCGACGGCAATCGCGGAAGCTGCGAAGGGAGCGGAGGCAGCGACACCTCCGAAAGGCCACCGTGAGCCGCGCTGGCAGAGTGGCCAGGGAGATGTTTACGGAGAAAAAACATGTGTGTTTTTACCACAAACTGGTATAACCCCTATCTTTCTAAACCCATTTATAATTGGACATATGGTTAAATACTATTAGATGGACTGGTTAAATACTATTAGATGGACTGGATTTGAGCGGCAAACGAAGAATCTCATTAGCAGAATGGTGGATTGAGCCGAGAAAATGGAGAGAATCAATTGAACTGGTTGGACCATAAATGGGATTGTGTCACACGAACTTTGGAATTGAAACAACAACTCTGGTAGTCCCACCAACCCAAACTAGGATTCAATAAGCAAACAAATCATGGGTTAAACGACATGTTTTCTATCCACAACATGTCATTTTCAAAAAAACTAGTGATTTGACCAACAAACTGTTTTTTTTAAGGTGTAGCATGGTGTAGCATTAAACGGACCAAAACTCGTTGGAAACAAACAGGAGCAATTGGCTTAACCCAGTTGTTGGGTGGATGCTATCCAACCATGTTTTTTGTGGTAAATGTATGCTGGAATTCACCTGTTTGAACAAATGGGGGGTTCCATAAATGGAGGATCCCCAAAATGATTGGTTTGCAATGGAAAATCCTGTTAAAATGGATGTTTTAGGGGTACCCCTAATGACTAGGAAACCCCTAAATATAAAGTCGAATTAGGGGTTCATCCCAGCCTTTGTCTCATGAAACAAGCTAGAACCACAAGCCAGTGAGGGTGAAGATAGCAGGGATCATCCCGAGAGCCTCCTGTTGCCAGGTATTTGTGGGTGGAGAAAACTGTCCAGCGATGGAAATACTAACATAACATACATACCAATTAACCAACAAACAAACAAAGTAACAAACACAGTAGTAAAAAGACAAAGTAACAAACAAACAAACAAACCAACAAACAAACAAACAAACAAACAAACCAACAAACAAACAAACCAAGAAACTAACTAACTAACTAACTAAATAACAAACTAACTTACTTACTTACATACTTAATTACTCACTCGCTAACTTAACTAACTAACTAACTAACTCACTCACTAACTAGCTAACTAAACAACTAGCTAACTAACTATCTAACTAACTAACTAACTAACTAACTAACTAACCAACTAACTAACTAACTAACCAACCAACTAACCAACTAACTAACCAACTAACCAACTAACTAACTAAGCACCGACTAAATAACTAACTAACCAGCATCCTTTGAATTGGGCTCCAAATGTTCATTCTAGAGTGGTAAGCATGTGAAAAGCTCGCTGGAGGACAGTGGCTACATCTTGCCATCTGGAGGTGCAGCTGAGGTATCCCCAACTGCTCAGTTCGGTGGAACACGTGGAAACAACCACAACCCGGGTGGTTAGAAATGTTTAATATATATAAAAACCGGTGTTAAAATTTAATATATATATATAAACAAACAATATACATACAGTATAGCATTCGATGGTTAGAAAGTTGACAAGAGCAAGGCCGGTTTCGCTACTACCAACAGTTACTTCTGCCGGCACAAACACTTTCGCGAATCTTTCGCGACCGCGCTTGAAACTTTCACAAAAACAAGTTCCTTAAACATCCTCAAACCATTTTCACAGGATCACGTCGAAGGGTTGACACTTCTGGACTTTGCCATCATCGATTCTTGATGCAAATCTCCATGTAACACCCCCAAAGCGTCCTCCACCAAAAAATATGAACTAATCAATGGGTTATTGACCACCATGAACCCCTGTGAAAACGAATTAATTTGTTGCAACCAAACGCGGCAATGATTTGACCATGCCAGGGTAGACTCCAAACAGAAAAACATGGCTACTAGTTTTGAAGAGCTTCTTACGGTTTTTTCCGCCCGAACTTCCCAGTGGGTTTCGCCTCTTCTTCAATACTGCAGGGCAAAGGTATCCTTCGGAAGCGCTGGGATCGGTTTTTGTCCCTGACTTAGATCAATGCTCCTTGCATCCTATCTTTGCTTTCTATGGTGTTTCTATGGGATTTTTATTGTGTTTCTATGGTATTTTTATGGGATTTCTAAAGGGATGGCTAGGATATTTCTATGGGGTTCCTATGGGATTTCAAAGGGATGTCTATGGGATTCCCATGGGGTTCCTATGGGATTTCGATGGTATTGTGTATCATATGTCTATGGGATTTCTTTAGGGTTCCTATGGGATTTCCATGCTATTTCTATCGGATCTCCATGATATTTCTATTAGATTTCTATGATATGTCTATGGGATTTCTATTGGATCCCTGTGGGGTTTCCACGATGTTTCTATGATATTTCTATGATATTTCCATGGGATTCCTATGGGATTCCTATGGGACTCCTATGGCATTCTTATGGGGTTTCCATGTTGTTCCTATGATATTTCTATGGGGTTACTATTGGATTTCTGAAGGAATTCTATGGGATTCTAATAGAAATTCTTTGTGGTTCCTATGCTTTTTCCATGTTATTCCTCTGATCTTTCTATGGAATTTCTGTGGGATTCCCATGGGATGTTCATGATATGTCTATCATATTTCTATGGGATTACTACGGGATTCAATTGAAAGTATATAATCTGAAACCAACTGAAAATCAATTGAAAGTGAATTGAAAGAAAGTTGAGTTCAATTGAGAATCCCTTGGAACTAAATTGAAATCAATTAAACAATTGAGAATATTTAAATTGAAATCAATTGAAAATCAGTACAAATCAATTGAAAGTAAATTGAAATCAATTGAAAGTAAATTGAAATCAATTGAAAGTAAATTGAAATCAATTGAAAACCCCTTGAACGTGAATGGAAGTCAATTGAAAAGCAACTGAAAGTAAATTGATATCAGTTGGAAATAAATTGAAATCAGTTGGAAATAAATTGAAATCAATCGACATCTTTACTTAAGATCATGATCCAAAATCATTCAGACCCCGACCCTTCAAAAGTTACAAGCCTAATGGGGGGGCCCTGACACTAAATCAGGATACAACATTATATCATACATATATATATAATATATATACGTAATTATATAAACATCATATTCCTATATAATCCTACATATTCCTATTGGTTACATCCCAATCACATTCCCATGATCCATAATGATCCATGGTCCTTGCGCCCGGAGTCTCTGGCAGAGGTGGAACTTCATCTTGGTTGGAACACGGGAGCTTCGGTATGGGGCCATGCCTTGGGTTGATGAAAATAACATGGGGATATGGATGGATAAAACTCCTTGATGTTAGCAAAGTTAGTTTAGAACACACATCTGATTACCATCTCACTATGGTGTATAGTAGCTAGATATAACTAATAACTAGCATGTTCATGGAGGTCAAAAACCAATACAAACGTACTCATAATGGCCATCAGGGCTCAGCAAAAATCTGGGAAAAAAACTGGGTGTGAACATGAGCTGTGTCCGGTGTGTTCTAAAACTACACTTGCAATGGGTGAAATGATGATCACCCAACGAAGTGATGCTTTCCCATCAATTTTCAGTCGAACCCAACCAGATCTAACTAATGTATCTACATAACGTGGTTTTGCCGGGGGCACATGTGAGTAAATGTGCTGGCTCCATGAAGAGGGCCTGGTTTGCAGAGTTCCCCATTGCCATATGACGATGGGGCTGTTTATATAATATGAACGGGGGATGGGATTGTCCGAATCTGAAATTTCCCCCAAATCCGTTGATATTCCATTCAACCACCATTCTAATCCCAATAATTCACCATTAAATCACAAATCATAATTTAATTCATTCATTCACCATGAAATCACACATCAAAATATATAATTCATTCATTCACCATTAAATCAAATTAAATCACCATATCACCATGAAATCACCATAAAACCATCATAAAACCATCATAATTCATGGTATTTCTTCTTCCGAGGATAGCCACCGATAGTCACCATTCGGATCGCCGCGGCACGAAGTGGCACGGAGGTCACACCCAGGGAGGTGGACAAGTCCATGATACCTTGGCACTGCGACAACGAGAATCATGTCGTTGGAACAGAACTTGGACAACTTGAAATCATGGGAAAATATATGAAAAATCCACTATAAATGGACGTTTTATGGTAGTTTTATTTTTTAAACAGAGTGGAACAACCTTGAAATCCCATCTATAGGAAAATATAGGGAACATCCGCTATATTACATGGAAGTTTTATGGTAGATATATCGAACTAGTTGCGGTAGATACACAGGATTGCTCCAAGCACCCCAGGTACGGGTGGATCAATTGCCTAAACCTAGAGGTAAAATGGCTATACATTTTTTCCCCTTCTGGCTATCATTTATCTGTATAATAATGGGTTGGAACAACCCTGATACAGGACGAAACTCAGAATCTATAGTCATCCTGGAATAAATAGAATGTGAAAATTTCAACAAATCACCACTAACATGTGAATTTCATTGAAAATCCCATATTCTAATCTACTTCAGGATGACTATAAATGAACATGTTTTTTCTCGAGTGGGAGATGATGCAAAATTGGATTTGATTGAAAATGAGATATGATATGCCTAAATCATCTAAATCCCACGGATTATTACTTTTGGAATTGCAATCTGGACAGATTTGATACCACGATCCACCATCGATCCACCGATCCATCAGTGCATCCATCTAACTCTACATATACGCATGCATAAAAGGGCTGTACAAGGGGAATATATACATGTACACATTGAACAAAAAAACACAGAAACCCTGCTGACTCATGACTGATCCTGCCCGCGTCCTCCCCCGGCCCTCCCACCTGATTTGCAAGGCCTCAAGACGTCGAGGCACAGATGAGAAACTGCGCCCAGTAGCTGGAGAAATGGTTCGCTTAACATGCACTTAAATGGTTAGAAAATGGGAACTTAATTGAGGTTTCAATTGGCCTTAGGAAACGAATCTAGAGCATGCAAATGACACTGTGAATTCTCGAACCTCCCCGGAGACATGAGGCAGGTAGAGCATGCAGGGTCACAGTGTGAACTAACCATGAAAGAGGAAAAAGAAGGAAAAGAG